AAGTGTCTCTGGTGGTCACCCACCCAAGTACTGACCGCGCCCACGATGCTTTAACTTCGGTGATCTAACGAGAACCGGTATATTATTCACAGTATGGTACGGTTGCTGGTATTTGTGGTATTTGTATATTTGTTATTACCCATAAAAGTATATGGGTATTGTTTTGGGACGGGATCAGCAATGTCCTGGATCACTTTCAACGTTTCTTAGTGCTTTATTTATTTTTGAAATTTCTTTCGCGAGTTTTCCTTATTGGTTATTGGTTTTATTAAATATAAAATTCTCACCTTTATTTTTTAATTTCTTATTGGCATTTTTTTATAAAATCACTTGAAAATTATACATTTTCCATTTATTATTTTTTTAAATATCTTTCACGCGTGTTTTTTATAAAAATCGTTAGGAAATTCTACAGATTTCATTTATTATTTTTTTAAATTTCAATCACGTGCCATTTTATTAAATTTCTTTCGAAAGTTGTTTTATAAAATCGTTTGGAATTCTATAGTTTTTTAATGTTTTTATTTATTCTGTTTTCTCTATTTCCGTTTTGAACAATAACTGATGAACATAATTTATTGCTTGAATATGGCTCATTAATACTTTTTCTTTGTTTAAGATTGTTCTTTCTTGAATTCTAAATTTTATGGGTAACCTGTATATTAGCCCAGCCGATTAAATTTTTATATATTATATTTATTATTATTATTTTATATATTTTATTTGTCATTCTAAAGGATATTAAAATAAACAATTTTTAATTTAAAAACATATGTCATTGAATTTAAAATTCCAGAAATCTTATATCCTTTGAAACAAACCAATAACTTAATTTTTTTCGAACAAAAATGCTACGTCAATCACCAAAAGTCTATTATATCCTAAGGTTTAAAAATTTTTTGATTAAAATAAAAAAATTTTTAACTAAAAATAAAATTACAAATTATTATTATTATTTTTAGAAAAGTAGGAATTGTTATGTTTTACATAGAAGTTTACGAAATTGAAGTTGTTAAAGATATGTATTAAAGATGCAAAACCAAAATAAACTAAAGAAATAATGTTCATTAAAATGGGAGGAAAATAATGACTTTTTTTGCAATTTATTTTGTTTGTCAACAACAACAAAAAATTTAAATATTTATATAAAGTGGTAGTTTATTAACAATGTCTTTTCTTTTATTATGTAGAAAAAAATTTGAAATTCTATGTTTTATAAAATTATAAAAATAGAAATAAAGAAAAGTGGGAAAAGGTTCGAACGCTCAAGCTGGGAGATAAAATATGTATAAGTAAACAAAGGTTTTCAAAAAAGCTGATTCAACAATAAATTAAGTAATAAAGTTGCATAAAACAAATAATTTTTAAGGTGATGTGATAGGAATAGATAAAAAATGACAGAACAATTGTTAAAGAGAAAAATAAATATTGATAATATTGTATCATGTTTTGACAAATGAAATGTTTTTGAATTTTGATGAGAGTGCAGAACATTGGATACATTCCTGCCTTTGTTAGTACGTAAATGAGCAATTAAATATTAAAATATATTTTATTCAATATTTTATAACTTACTACAAGCTAGTTGATGCAGCATAATGTTTACTACAAAAAGGTTTTTATTATTCTTATTTTTTTTTTGAGGAAAAATATACTATTGTTTTCGAAAGGTGGTCTTTTTAGCTGAAATCATTTGCATTAGAACCACAGATGAGTAGCAGATTCATCATTATCCAGAATGCTAAGCCTGCTACATTGTATACACATTGTACCAAGTTCTCACGTTGCTGCATTTATAGATGCTTTATAGATTTATTAAGTGACAATTCTATTTTTTTAAATGTAATAGGAATTATTAATTTTTTTAATAAGATTTTCAGATTTTAATAACAAATTAAAAAGTTGAACAGAATCCAACTTAATTTAAATAAAAAAAAGATAAATATTTTATTCAATGTTTTCTATTTTTTTTTGCAAACCAACACAGCAAAAAACTTTTTAAATAAAAAAAGTCAATATTTTATTCAATGTTTTCTAATTTTTGCAAACCAACACAGCAAAACTTTTGTCAATAATATGCAGGTTGCGATGTGGGATTCCTTACCTATGCAATTTTTGTTCGCTACTTAGGGCCATAAAAATGTTTTGTTTTAAAATTAAGCTAATTACATCTATTAATAAATTAGGTGTTTGTTAGAAGAAAATCAATATATATTTGTGAACAAACGTTTGTAGACATGAAAACAATCACAAAATCACATTATCGCAAAAATCGGTTAATAATAATAATAATAAAATATAATAAAAAAAATAAAAAATAAAAATTAGATAAACACTTTTTTTTTTTTTTTTTTTTTTTTTTTTTTGCAACATCGATGTGCTCTGTATATAATTATGTATGCCACGAATAGCCCGTCGAAGGCTGAAGAGGGAAAAACATTCCTTTATGGGAGGTCTTTTGGAATAATTATTTGCATTTGCATATCGTATGGGAGAAAATTCGGAAAACTCCCACTAGTCAGCAGGAATATCGATATGATACATTGTCATCGTGATGATCTATATATAAAATCATCATCATAAGTGGCGCAATAGCCCAATGGTGGACCAAGGCCGTCTGCCTACTGTCAGATTTCGAAATAGGAGATATTTTTCTTTTTGAGGGTTAGGTTAGACCAAGACCTACTGTTTAAAGTAGATTCCAAACCACTACAAACATCCATGGCACCGCTGGGATTCGAACCCGAAACATGTGGCACCGAGCACTGATATATATATACGATATCAACATGAATATCGATACGAGTTAAATATCGGTATATCGTTTTACATAGACTGTCACAATCGCCATCGAGTCTCCTCCAGTAGATGAAAAACCCCACTCCTCAAAATAATATCTATAATTTTATGGGTAGTAAAAAAAAATATAATCTGACACGGTGTTGTTACTGTGTCTAATCCTCATTGTCCTGAAGGGCGGAGCGGACGTCCCATGAGTTGTCTACTCATGAATGAATGGAGGGAGAGGGGGCAGCTTCTGTTGTGGTGGACCACCGTAGGTAGAAGTCTGATTCAGCTCCAAGATGCAAAAGAAGGAGGGAAGTGCCTTCCGGATGGACTTTTAGGAGGAACTACTCCGAATTTGCGTATAGTACGGGAGAAACCCCGGCAAACTCCCACCATGTAGTCTGACTTACTAGGGGCCTGAAAGACCGAGTGTCTAGCGCCCTGGTGATCGGTTTCGAGTCCCAGCGGTGCCATGGACGTTTGTAGTAGTTCGGAATCCACTTTAAACTGTATTCCCGGTTTCATATGACTGTAGAGCATCAGAGAGCGCAATCAAACTTCTCACCCACATCGTTCCCAAAGTGTAAAGGGGCAACTCAGCTCTAGGCACAATGATGTGTGGCGTAGTAGTAATCTGACTGACTATGCAAGAGGCTGAACATCACCCACGCCATCAAGACTCCTCGTTTCTTGGGTCTTTGGTATCCCAGGTTTCAGGTTCGAATCCTGGCGGTGGCATGGATGTTTGTTGGTGGCTCGCAATCCACGTTAAACTGTAGGTCCCAGTCTGTTTAGCCCTCGTGCGCACAAGATGACCGTAGAGCGACAAACCAAACCAAACCTCGCTTTTTGAAACAGTGTCTACAACAAAACCCCCAGCGGATTGGACCTCAGCCCTAATGCTTATTAGCGGTGCTCGTTGCCAATGAATCACGATTCGGGCATCTGACATCCTGACACACACATCGTAAAGGTCTGTTTGCCTCATGTTGAAAGTAATGAAATAAGTCCGTGTGATATGCTATTAAAGGGGTTCTTTAGAATTCCTGCAGTAAATCCTCGTTGTTAGTTTATTTTTTCCACCAAGGGTAGCGGCTTGATGGCCAATTGGCTAGAGCTCTGGCCTTTAGTAACACAGGCTTCAAGTTCGAATCCTGGGAGTGCCATGGATGTTTGTGAGTGGTTCGAAATCCGCGGTAAACTGTAGGTCCCTGTCTTATGAGCCTAAAGTGGCCTTAAAGCGACATATCAAATCGCCAAGAGTAATATTTTTTTTTTATGTAAACAGGATAATTAATTGTTTTCCGTCATCCTTAATGAAGGGTTATATTTTTAAATAATAAAAAAAAATTGTTTGTTTTGATTTCCAAACTTAAACAATGCGGATAATAGGAATCCAATAACAAGTACTAAACCACAAAAAGCAGTCAAGTCTCTTGTAATGATGATGAAAATAAATCTGCGATGATGATGTAATTCTAAAGCAAATGACTTAAGGATGATTTAACGCAAATACTGCAATACCGGCAAATGACTTAAGGAAATGATATTAAGGATCAGTTAGAGAAGTTTCATCGGCGTACGTGAAAACACATCCAAATGAATTGCTGTGTTTACGAGATAACATCGGAAACAGGATTAGAGGTCTGATGAATTGCCGCCTCTGTCGCACTATCAATCCAATTAAGTCATCTTGATAGCGACACTCAGTGTTATATAATGCCAAAGTGTGTTTCAAAATCTAATATACTAAGTACAATTGCAAAAGTGGATAAACGTCAGATAACATCACCTGTCCGTAGAGGATGAAAGTAGGAGTATTAATATTGAGTGTATGAAAGAAGTAGATTTATATTATGCAATATTTCTTTTACTAATAATAATGTGAATTTTTAGATTATAGTTTCCTCTCAAATGACGGCACAAAACTAATCTTTACAAATCGAATGGAAAATTTATAAATTTTGTTCCCCTTCACATAGGGTTACTTAAAATTCTTTTTAAAATGAAAAATGTTTCTACAATTACATGAATTGCATTGTGAAATGTTAAATTTACATAAATTACATGAAATACATTACGAAAGGTGAATATATATATATATATATATACACTGAAGTGACAAAAGTCATGGGATAGCAATATGCAAATTTTCAGATGGCAGTAGCATCGCGTAGAACAGGTATAAATGCGCAGTGCTTTCGCAGAGCTTTCATTTCTGTTCAAGTTATTCATGTGAAGAGGTTTTGACGTGAGGATGACCGCACGACGGGAATTAACAGACTTTGAACGCGGAATGTTAGTTGGAGC